GAGAAGAAGGAGTTGGAGGAGGATGATGGCGAGGAAGAACCATGTCCGGCGGTGGTGGAGGGAGAAGTAGGATTTGACGGCGGCAAAGTAGGATTGTTTGCTGACGAGATTTTCGTGGGCTTTGGGATTCGGGTGGGGAGGCGGGTCTGGTGCAGGAAGCATTAGACTATCGGAGGAAGGGGATTGACAGTGGCGGCGCCGGTGGTGGTGGTGGTTGTGGTGTTAGAGTTAATGTGTGATTATGTTTTAAATGAGGTGGGATCGTCTGTGATTAAAGATTGGTGCTATTGGAGATGATCACATGGTGTGAGAACGCGTGGGATAATAAGACTTGTCTCTCGAACCGACGGGTCAAACCTAACAACGTGATTTCTTAATTGGATTAATTCATAAATCAAGTTTAATTAGGTTAGAGATATTCATTAATATTCTTAAGTTAAAATATTTGAATAAATAATATTTATAAATTAAAAATATAGAATCAGCATGTAATACAATTTACCTATATTAATTTATTAAAAATGTTATATAAAATTTAAATTGTGTAAAATTACATAAAATATGTCTATTTAAAATAATAATGAATAAAATAATAGAAATTCAAAATGAGTTATTTTTTCTCACCTCCTCATCATGAAACATAATTTCCAAGTAAGTTTTATAATCAACATCAAATTTATTTTCAATTATTTGAATTGTTCGCAATTTCATAGGTAATTTCTTGGTTCTAGTGACTTTCTTGATCAAACCGAATTCGGACTTCAACCTTAATTGAATAAAAGAAAAAATCGGATACTTGAATATTAAAAATGAAATCAAACCAAGGATAACTACAAATGGTTGAAAAATGACTGAAATTATAGGGGATGAACAAAGTATAATCTAGTTAAATACCATAAATATTTGATATGAAAAGTATATAAAAGCTGCAATAAATCAATTTAAAAATTGTATAAATTCTTTAGTACACGATTTTTGTAATGTAAAATTTTACTTTCTTTAATACATCATTTTTGTACTATAGAAAATTTACTTTGTTTGGAAATTATATTTTCATTTAATTTCTAATCAAATTCTCATTTAATTTAAATATGATATAATTTTTTTTGATTTGAACGAAATTCAATTTAAAAATATTGTTATGTTGATCAATTGGGATGTTACTAAATCCTATTGGAATATTAGTTGTAATGTAAAAATTTTACTTTCTTTAATACATCATTTTTTAACTGTAAAAATTTTACTTTGTTTGGCAATTATAATTTTGTTTAATTTTTAATCAAATTCTCATTTAATTTAAATACGATATAATTCTTTTTTGATTTGGACGAAATTCAATTTAAAAATATTATTTTTTTATCAATTGGGATGTTACTAAATCCTATTTAGTTGTTAATTTCAATTTAAACAAAAATTGCCATTAACACAATTGTTTTGGAACAATTTTATAAAAAAATATAATTGAATAAATCAACCTAATTTACACGATCTACGTGATTAGGGTATCTTAGCAATATAAATTTTTATGGTCTAATTATTTCCTTAATTATCTACGATTTGAGTAATTAAATACACAAAAAATGAATAATATTTATTAAATAATATTTAAATAAAAACTGTCATTAACACAATTTTTTGTAACAGCTTTTCACAAATCGCATAATTAATTATTGTTATCCTTATTTCCATAATTGTAGTAATTATTTAACAGCTTTTCACAAATCGCATAATTAATTATTGTTGTCCTTATTTCCATAATTGTAGTAATTATTTACAGATTGAATAAATCAGTCGAATTTACACAATTTGAGTAATTAAGTTATATTAAAAGTGCATTTGACAAAATAATTACACGAAAAATATAAAATACTTATCAAATAATAAATTATACAATTTAGTTGGAAACTTTTTAACAAATGACATAATTGATATTGCAGCTGAAATTTTCATATTTTTGAGTAAATCGGCTGAATCCACATGATTTGAGTAATTAAGTTATCTTAAATATATATTTTTTATGGCTTAATTATTTTCTTAAATAATGAGCCGCAATTTCCATAAGTAATTATTGAAAATATATCATAAATTGTTAAATTAATTTCCTGAAATAATAAATAGATTTTTTTGGAGGAAAATATTTTCTATTTAAAAGATAATCAAACCTTTTTAAATATAAATATAGATATGCCACTATGCCAGCGATCAATCTTGACTATGGGAGGCGCATAATTGACGTATTTGAATTTGAAATATATATCCACTAATAGAGTAAAATTTCCAAAAAAAATTCCCCAAATTCTTTTTTTGTTTATTGCCACTTTGACATATTAAGTCTATACATTTTCTTTTCAAATTTTAAAGTAATATAATAATCTCATTATAATTGAACCTTCACAGTAGTCCCCCCAATATATTAATTGAGAACGTGTTGAGTCTATGTGGCAGGCTCATATGCTTCGGGATCCTATGTGGCAAAAATACATGCTTCGTTATTAGGCTTGGGTAGATTTAGTTTACTTCTAATCCAAATATATTTAGGTTCGGATTATATATAATATGTTGATTATTTATGATAAGGGTGGGCGCCGGCCGGGACGGTCCTGGTTTGACTTGTCCAGATACCCATCCCACTTTTATAAATCCGTCCATGAACGGTCCGGGATAAGGCACCGTCGACACCATGTAATACATGGGTGTTGTACTAGTTCATTTGTTAAATTCTTAAAAGTAATTTGTCTAAAAGTTCTACAACGGTTTATCATAATATGGCAAACTTACCTTCAACAAACGGTCAATAGTGGTTTCTTCCATTTATAATTAAAAAACTATGCAACTGACCAAGAATGGGAGAATGCTACCATCCCGTTACGGGATGATTTTGTTGTGTTTTCTAGTCATAGATATACATGTAATCCAGTGATGGGTAGTTAATCCAATGGTTAAAAATACAACGGAACCATCCCGTAACGGGATGGTAGCATTCCCCCCAAAAATGATATGGTGAATCGTTCCAACTGTTGACAATTTGTTTCATCATATTTTAACTAGTGAAAAACTCGTGCGATGCATGGGGTGAAGTGTTTTAAGGCTATTTGTCTAGTGTTACTCTTATATTCGTGAATAAAAAATAATTAAATAAATAGAATAAAAAATAATACTATATATTATTAAAAACATCATGGTAGATAATATTTTTTGCCTTGTAAGCACACCATCCTTCCCGTAAACTAATATTTTTAAGCCATTTCGATTAGTGACATGGAAACAACTATATATAACTGGTCATGACTGAACATCGGCTTCATCAGAGATATGTCAACATGTGCTAAAAAGACTGACAATGGCTCTTATTAATCGTCATGGCATAAGAAATCGTTAAGGGAAACTGCATTCGCTGAAATTTGAAAGGTACTGTAACGTCGGAATGTGTTAGAGTCATCCAACGTATCAACACCTTCACTCACACCTTCACTCTTGCATTAGATTAGTTAATATATTACATTCAAACACATGAGTGAACAACTTTGTGACAACCAATCTCGTAGCATTGCACAACGACATAGAAAGGTCAATGTCCCGCAACAACATGAATGTGGTTCCTATCTTAATATTCAACTCATGGTTCTGCACTCCAGAACATCTGATAGTTTTCAAAAATTCGAGAGTGTGGTGATCGGACAAAAAATTATTATTGGAATTAGATTTTCATGTACTATCAAAGCTCGAGTATGTTTGACCATCAGTCGCGCTCAAAGACGTCTCATTCATAGAAGCAACCACCTCCAACGTTGCGGCTAGTATAGCGTTATCCTTCAAATAACTGGGATCATCGGTTGCATCCTTAAATATTGGACATGTGCTCTCAAAGTGGGCTTCAACAATATATTGTCGGGTATGTCTATCAAGGCACATCTATCATTGGATCCCCAATGGTTTCATCTCCGATGCTCGCTATCCAATTAGCAAAAGTTGTCAGCTCCTCGCATTCATCCGAATCACCAATGCTCTGAAGATGCATATTTTTTGTAAGCCTCAACTCATCACAGTATGTCGAAGAATTAATTGCAGCATACACCATATCCTGACGATTCCCCATTGAAATAAAACTAGTTTTTATTGTTTGTTGTATTTTCAATATTATTATTTGTTGACGGTAGATATCAACCACCATTAATTAGTGAATTTAATTTCGTAATACCTAAGGACAACGGACGGTTGAGATTGGGCCGATTGGTTCCCCTTACAATTCTCACCCACTTCTCGATGATATCCTGGTCTTAGGTGATGCTGGTGACGGTGGTCACCGGGTCCTTCATGATAGCAAGATCGGGCACAAGAAGTATCGGGGTCCTTCGATTTCATCCGTATATTATTTTCGCCCTTTCGATTATTTGGGTCACAAAAACCTGAACAAGTTCCTCCTTGAGGTCATTTATGTAAGGTACAATTAACGTTTAAAATATTTAAAATTTATATTTTTCATAACAAGGATAGTGTGCAGTCCAAATTTAAAACCAGTGGAAAGGATTTGTTTATGGTTTTAGATAATTCAATTTTATCGTTTAAATTATTCAGCTTTTAGCTTATATTTGTAAATACATGTTTAGATACTTTGCTCAATAAATCACTTGCTCTAAACGCTTATATGAATTTAATAAACTACTTTGAATTTTGTCCTATAAGTATTTTCTGGGAGTCACAGGCATCTTCGATCGAGGATATAAATGGTGGTATGCTTATGTTGTATGTGCATTTTCTTAGCCCTTTTTTTTTTTTTTACAAAGAAGGAGGCAAAAGACTTAGACTACAACGTTGCGAGAGTGAGATACCCCTAGCATGTAAGATCGAGGCCATTGACGCAAGGTAGTCTGCTGTAAAATTTTCTTCACGATGGATGTGTCGAACCTTTATCATCCATTCCCTTACCAACATGCTTTTAATACCTTGGATAATGCTGCTGTGTACTCCCATTTGCTCCCCATCCTGTAGAACCACCTCCACCACGCTTTTATTCTCGACTTCTGCTACCACCATGCAGTGCCCCTTATCCTAAGCCAATTGTAAACCTTGGAATAGACCCCATAGCTCCATTCCCATTATCGAGCAAAATCCGATATTCGTTGAGAAGTCGGACACCCATCTACCCCTTTCATCCCGCAATAATCCCCCATCCTAGGCCATACCAGACTGGCGGTTGAAGGCACCATCCGAGTTCAGCTTGATGAAGCCAGCCGCTGGTTTAGTCCACGAAAGCCACCGCTGCTCCCTGCAGATTTTTGCTGTACATATTGTCTTGGCAAACAAGCTTGCCCATTTATTACCTTCTACATACCGTTTAATCATCGTTACTCTCCTCAGACTATTAAGCCCATTATTGTCGAAGATGAAAAATTTCTATCTCTCCATACGCTCCACAACGTGACGCCGAACACACAACTCCAGCTCTCCACTTGGATATTTAAGTGATTCCGAATGTTTAAACTCACCCAATCTCTTACGTCTAACATAAAGAAAGAGGCATGATTCTGTTTCGGAAGAGTCAGCGCCATGTGTGCTCATCATGGCTACAATCTCTTAAACAGTGCAAAATCGATTCTTGGGCGGCGCTGCAAACCTCGCATACAACACTTTCCGCCAGGTGACTGCGGTAACGTTCTTCGTTGGTGAGCAAACGGCCTTTGACAATCAACCACAAAAACTGCCGAATTCTTTATGGGCCCGTCCAGCTCCAGATATCTTTCCATTTTCGCCCATTATCCACGGGACACTCGCCAGCTAAAGATCCATAAGCAGATCTAGTGGAGAATCGGCCATTAGAAGACCAACCCCAATACATTACATCGTCGCCCAGCCCCGGGGATGGTGGTAAGGTTGCTGCGATACGCAACAAAACCGTCGCGGGTAGTAAGGATTGGAAGAGATCCCATCGCCAAACTCCGGTGCTATTTACAAATTTATCCAATGTCCAATTATGTTGTTCTTCTGGAATCGGATGAGTAGCTTCATTGAGAAGGACAATAGAGCTCGTAAGCCACCGGTCCGTCCAGAAATGGATACGTTTGCCTTTACGAACAAACCATCGAATCCCTTCAATTACTTTACCCCAAATTCTCGAAATAGCACGATCAACGGTGGAGCCACGCGCAAAGACAGGCTTATCAAATTTTTCCGCAAAGTTTAGCCCGTATTTCACCGTTAGGACTTGAACCCACAAAGTATTAGGAGAGGTCAACAATCCCCAACCCAATTTCATCAAAAGAGCCATGTTCATTTTTCTTTGCTCCTTAAATCTGCCTTGGATCGACACAAATCCTCCCGACGGACCAGATTAATTTTCTTTTGCGATTCTGTGCACCCCATAAAAAGCGACGACACCTTCTATCGATGCCGGAGCAAACTAATGATGGCAACCATACGGTATGCATCGCATAAAATGGTAATGTATTCACCACCGATTGAATCAGTGTGGTTCTCCCCACCAGGGACAAAGTAGAACTTTTCCATCCGGACAACCGTGTTTCAAATTTATGCAACACATTAGTGTACGTCTCGTGAGTTACTCTCCCATGAATGACGGGCATCCCCAGATACTTACCCAAGTTATCAACGCGCTCGAAGCCCAACGAAGAAACAAGGTTCTGTACATCAGCCGTGGGGACATTCTTAGAAAAAAAAGATTTTTGTTTTAGTCGCACTTACTTTCAATCCGGAGTCATGACAGAAATCGTCTAGCACTTCCTTCAAACAACGGGCCTGATTATTTGTAGCCTCAGCAAACATGAGTAGATCATCTTCGTTCCAGAGCAATTAATCGTCAAGGCTAGACGCTCCATACATAAGACAAAGAGATATGAGGAGGTCGGGTCACCTTGGCGAACCCCCCGAGTTGGGGTAAACTCCTCGCTAGGAACTCCGCCCTATGATAATTGGGCAAAAATCTAATTTTGGTCCACTAACTTGTCTATTGTCTACTTTTGGTACACTATCTTTCCCCTCATAAAAAATGGTCCATTATGTTACACTTTTTAGTACACTAATCCCGTGGCCCGGGATTACGAGATACCAAATCAGATTTTTATCCTACCACGTCAATATCTTATTCCTCCACGTAGTTCCAATCCTGGTCCACGTCATCTTGTAATTCCGCCAACTGGAGCAGCGTAATAAAACTGATGAAAAATGTAACATAATGGACCATTTTTTATGAGGGGAAAGATAGTGTACCAAAAGTGGACAATGGACAAGTTAGCGGACCAAAATTGAATTTTTGCCATGATAATTGCATGGTAGCTGAGGTGACACAAGTCATAATGCTCGTCACAAAGGGTCGGGGGAATCCAGCTAGAGAAAGCGTGCTTCCAGGAAGTCCCATCGCAAGTAATCGTACGCTTTTTCGAGATCCACCTTTACGACCATGTAGCCCTTCTTACCCACAAGTGTTCTCATGGTGTGGATTAGTTTCTGGGCAACAACGATGTTATCGGTAATATGCCGACCTGAAATAAAGCTAACCTGTGCTGGACCAATTAAATTTGGCATAAATCCTTTCATTCTGGTGGTTAGTACTTTAGTTATAATTTTATACACCACGTTCAGGAGGCTTATTGGACGGAAGTCGTTAATAGTGCTTGGACAATCGGTTTTGGGAATCAGCACTATTAACGTTTTGTTCAATTGTCGCGGCATTGGGCCCCCTTGCAACACTTGACGGACAGCGTTGCAAACTGATTCTCCAGCTACGTTCCAATTTTTTTGGAAAAATAATGCATGTAGCCCATCTAGTCCGGGGGCTTTAAGAGGATGCATTGAAGTAGAAAACTTCCTTTTAGTGTGAATATGAGAAAATTTTGTTTATCTGGTCAACAAAAGGTCATCACAGTTTAGTATTCTTTTTAATACAAAATTAGGTTGAGTGAAGTTTTCTAACTTCGTCGTTACAACATCAATGAAGTTTGTCGTAGTTTCTGGCTTTTTGTTTTTATTTTTTATTTTTTGACATTTTCTGTTGCTGCTACATTAAGAGGTGAGGATAGTTTGTCTAGAGTTGGGTTCGTAAGACTTGAATAAGGATGTGAGGTTGGATTCACCTTGCTCTTCTAAATTAGTGGTGATTTTAGAACTACCTATTTTGGAGCATATTTTTGACTAATAATTTTTCGCAACTGAATGCTTGAAGCTTCTTAGCTTTTGTCCTCATTACATGTTAATGGGGCACTCTTCATGGTGTACAAAATATTTGATCTCTTTCTTTCAAAATTCTTGGACTGTTTAAAATTTTTCTTTAACAGGATAATGTAACTTACAGTGTATTGTAGTTGCGGAAAATGGATGACGATCTTCTAGGCTTCTTCAAAGTAATACTATATCCAAACAATACATGCGTGGTATGCTCTATTTATACTTTAACTAACAATGCAAACTCCTCACTTATTAAAAAAATATTTATGAATAACGTTGTTGCCAATTTAACATGAAAACATCAATTTAGGTTATGCCAAAGGCGATACTAGCACGCTATCTTTACCTGCTGCCATAGACTACTATTTTAGACACAAAAAGGGGGCGCAACTATGCGGTTGTCGTGAGGATGAATCGAGATCGCATATGCTTGGAAGATGGTTGGAGTCATTTTGTGCAAACAGAAAAGATAACATTAAGATGTTTTTTGGTCGTTCAAAGCATAAGCCTCTTTCATTTCAAGGTGTCTATTTCTTAGTTCAACGCTTTAGCAAGGCCTACGCAATATCGCTTCGAGGTTCTGATAAAAAAAGACACACATTGACCGAGATTTGCTAGTGAGCATCCAATATCCAAAATTCGTATATAAAGTTTTCTTCATTTGCAGGGATTTACAGACATTATTCTGATTCATCTGTAAATTATTTGCAATTTTTAGTCAATTCTAATGCCATTTTGGAGGAAACACATTGAGTCGTTTGAAAGCGACGCCACCACAGTCACACTTAGGGTTGGTGTTGTTGACTACCTAATGGATATAGTTCATGACGTGGGAAAGAAAATTATGCAAGGTCACAGATGTCGAGACTTTCTAACCGAAAACAACATTGTTGAAGGGATGTGTGAGTTTAAACTCATACCACATGAAAGAATTGCTTTGAAGGTTAAAATTTAGTACATGTTTATGTTGCTATGATGGGTAGATTGTTAGGTGCACGGTAATCTCTTACTTTTGAGCGCAACTTCTAGGATTTTATGGTGAACCAAAAACATTCTGTTGACGTTTTTTGTGATTGTTGGGTATTTTGTCATGTAGTGTAACTCCTACCTTTGTGATTGACTCATATGAAGTAATTTCAAACTACTTTGAGTAATGCTAGCAAATGTATGTATGTGTATTCTTTGAGTTTGACAAATATATGTATAATGTTGGACACATTTTAACCAACATCTTTATGGCCGACCTAAAAATAATAACTATTTCATAATTATAGACTAAACTAGGGTTGGTTGTACGTGCACAACCAAGAGGCCACTAGTTATCAATATAACTAATAATATCAATCAATCATCCGCAAACAACACATTAATTTTAATTCACTACTCATTCATTCACATAATTTTAACTACATATCACTTAAGCTCTCTTCTACTGTTACATCATATCAACTTTACTTACTACATTTAAATATTATGTAATTACAAACTCAAAATCATTCACTCAATTAATTTTATTTAAATAAATCACTTTAACCAATCAAATTCGATTGGACAAAAATTTCTATGGAGCCATCGGTTGGGTTCGCATCTAATCACGTCCTTGACAAAGGGAAGATTTTCCCTAAAAATGCATTGGATATTGGGAAGCCCAAATTTCGGGTGGCCCGTGGGCTTCCTCTTTAAAGCAGTGTGCTCCATCTTTTTCTCTCTCTTCTGAGTTCTCGCACAGTTGCAGGAAAGGAAAGAGGACAATGGAGAAGGTTCGATGCCAGAGAATCGGATGTGACGCCATGTTCTCCGAAGACGATAACCCAGATGGCTCCTGTACTTATCATGATGCTGTACGCACAACTATCTCTGCTCAGTATAATTCTTTTATTCTAATGAATTCTCCTTTTTTTCCCCGAACAATTGGAGATATGGAGATCGGGTTGTACTTGAAGTAGTGCTGTTGGGTACTTTCAAGATTTGATTTCGAAGAGAAACGTTGAAAGCTCTGATTTTTTGAATTAATTAGCTGTTACTGGTTATGGTGATGCTAATATATTGATAGAATCTGCTT